TCTCTAAAAATCTTTTGATGAACAAAAACTGATAGTCCTTTTTAAGGCATTTTGACATGTTTTTATCTATATTTGCTTCATGAAAGGGTTTTAAGTTTAAATGTGTGAATCTAGGTCCAGAAGTGTTGCACATATTTCATGCAAAGTGAGGGGCTCTTCACATTAATTTCAATATCAAGTAAAGAAGAACACTTGATTGCTCTCCAGGATTTTACTAATACCTTTAACCACAAGCACATAAGCAAGACTACTGTTGGGAATTATCTTGTTGAGGCACAGAGAGAGCTTATTTGATCAGCGTAGCTGTGGGAAGTAACTTTATTTCCTGCTGATTTACTTGAATGGAATCATGGAAATAGAGAATAGCACTTGGCCTAGAGATTAAAACCTAGAGGAGCATAATCACTGACTCAGCTGAATTTGGTTGATCCTTAATAGTGGTAAAACATAGCATCATAAACAACTATGAAGAAAATGTGTTTATTGTAAAAAGAAAAGCCCAGATATTTACATTAATATTCCCTGTTGACGAAGACCCATTTATCCTTTATCCTGATTTTTACAGGTGGACCTTTTCTACAGACGGACACAATATTAATTTATGCCTGTTTAGAGGAGCACAGGAGAAACTAAGAAGCAATACTAATGCTTAATGACATATTGATATAAAAGGTTGTAGCAGTAATAGAAATCTAAAAAAACAAAAAACCCAACCCAACACATATTTTGGCTGCTGTTTGCTATACTTATTGGCTGCATTTGCTTCTAGGTGGACTTACTGGATCATTGTTGTGATGCTTAAGACACGTCTGCTTCACGTTACAGAGGTATGGTTGGGAAATATATATGCTTAATCTGAAGTTGGGCTTATACTCCATTCCTACTGATAAATGAATTAGCTTAATTTCCCATCAGTTCTTTACATTTGGACATGACATTTTTCTTGTTCCTTCGTTAACAAAGAAGGATGCAGTTTAGCCCCTCTGACCTCCTGCGTGAGACTCTAAGGCCATGGTTGTACCTCAGGAAAATTATCAAAAGATCAAATCAAGTGTTGTGGACTTTATTAAAATCAGTTGGATAGACCTGAGCTCAAATTTTAAATATTTGTCATGTGATGGAATTTAAAACCATTACAATGAGTTTAAAAGTCCTATAAAACTATAAAAGTTGTTTTTTCCCCAATGGTCTGAAACTTGTTTCGCAGTAACAGTCCTCTGAACCCAGCATTGTTACTAAGCCAGACTAACCAATTTTGAGTAAAAGTCATTTTAACCAGAAAAGCTTTATAAAAGTTTGAATTTCTTAACCTTGATAAAATTTTTGTTCACTCACACAAATGACTCATGATATTAAAGTCTTTGTAATATTGAAGGTTTTTAAATGCTTTCTAATGTCCTTACACATCTTTACCCTGTCATAAACGGAGTAGCATATAACAAATGTAATGGCTATTTTTTTTTAGCCCCACATTAAAAGGCAATTCCCAAAACTTGCAGATTGTATAGTTAATTTATGCCCCATGATTATCTAGCGGCCCTTTAAGCACCTTCTGGAACTGCCTCAGTGAAATTTGGCTTTTGAACAGAAATCATGAAAAACATATAAGCAAATGGAAGATCAAAGTTACCTGAGCATAAATCAAGTTGTAACTGCACTGAAAGTTAGGCGCTCCTAGTCCTAGTCTAATACCACCTACTGTTAATTTTCCACAAAAAAAAACAACTAAATATTTAAAGTTGTATGGTTGCAATCCATTGCAAACTTGTAGGGGATCCATTGAGGGGTGCTGCACTTCTCTGGTCTTGGCTGAAACTTTTTTTCTTCATCTCTATCTTAAAGCCACGTGTTTGACTCACTGTTCCTCAGTTCTCAGACATAATGTATGATACGCCATGTTAAATGTGAGGCAAGAAAAACGACTGTCAAACCCTAAAACAGCTGATAACTGCATATTTAAATATATGACATGAAAGGATGAACTTCATAACAGATCTGGAAATCCGCCGTTCCATTATTGCGTTTACATTTCGACAGTCTTTTCCAGCGGTGACAAGTTCCTAATGTGTTCCTAAAAAAAGAGGGGTATAGATCCTCTTAACCAACTACTTTTGATGGAAAAGAGTACTGGCTCTACACTCAACTTCCTCTGGGGGAATCAACCACCTCCTTACTCTGTTCCCTGTGGAGGGGAGTCATGTCTCATTACTGAGCTTTGCAAGTTTGCTTAGATCTTTATTAAGGATGACTGACAAAAGAAGTGTCAACATTACTGAAGATGAAGTCCAGATCTGCCCAGCCATCCTGTTTCACCCCATTTTTGGTCTGGTAAAAGACAGCAATATACTTAATCTCTTCTGCTTGTAGGAGAAATTCACATTAATCATCTGCAAAAAAGATGAAACCTATTGTGTTAACAATAAGTTAGTTCATTTCCTGAAAGCAATCTTTATCTTAGAAGCCTTAGAGTAAGAAAAATGTGGATTAACTTTGGGAAAGTACAAATGAAGGTCAACGTAAAAGAAAATCATGGAATAACATCTCTGATTTACATTTATACTGCAGCAATTCAGCAGCAATCATTCCACTGTAGTGGGGGCCGTTTTCTTGGCCCCATAGCTGCCAGTCATGTGAAGAAAACCCCAGAAGGATGAACTCGCCAAAGTGCTCAAAAACATTTGCTGTATCTCATTTCATCAAGTATTTCCTCATCGCTCCCTGTACACCTATACATAGAAGCTAACAGCTGTTTCACAACACTGCACCGTGTGAGTAATTGTGAAACATTGCAGCTTAGCAGTTTATCAAACTCTGCATACCCCCTCTGATGAGGAGACACTCCAAACCCAAGCTCCTACAGAAATATGCTATTTATTAGAGACAAATGGCATATTCCATTTGCCTAGGTCCAAAGAAATTAATGGTAAAGACTGCTGGTTGCGGGTGCTGACTTTATGAGAAGGAAAACAGTCAGAAACACATTCCAGGCGTGTCAAGGGAGAGAATAACCCTTACAGTAGGAGAACATGGTAATCAATTTTAAAGAAATTGTTAGTTTAAGATAGAAATGTCAACACGGTGTTCCTAGAAGACACACGGCTTCTAAAGAGGATATTCCAATGATAAACAGCAGAGGCATAAATTACACTGGAGAAAAATGGCAATATATTATTTAAAAAGTGTATAAAGTTACATGGATCAGTGGTTTCTTAAGTGAAACTACTGCCTGTTTTTTGCTGCCACCTTGTTTCAAAACCCTGCAAATACAAATACAAGCATACATATAGTATACATACACTATATTGCCAAAAGTATTTGCTCACCTGCCTTGACTCACATATGAGCTTAAGTGACATCCCGTTCCTAATCCATAGGGTTCAATATGACGTCGGTCCACCCTTTGCAGCTAGAACAGCTTCAACTCTTCTGGGAAGGCTGTCGACAAGGTTTAGGAGTGTGTTTATGGGAATTTTTGACCATTCTTCCAGAAGCGCATTTGTGAGGTCGCACACTGATGTTGGACGAGAAGGCCTGGCTCTCAGTCTCCGCTCTAATTCATCCCAAAGGTGTTCTATCGGGTTGAGGTCAGGACTCTGTGCAGGCCAGTCAAGTTCATCCACACCAGACTCTGTCATCCATGTCTTTATGGACCTTGCTTTGTGCACTGGTGCACAGTCATGTTGGAAGAGGAAGGGGCCAGCTCCAAACTGTTCCCACAAAGTTGGGAGCATGGAATTGTCCAAAATGTCTTGGTATGCTGAAGCATTCAGAGTTCCTTTCACTGGAACTAAGGGGCCAAGCCCAGCTCCTGAAAAACAACCCCACACCATAATCCCCCCTCCACCAAACTTTACACTTGGCACAATGCAGTCAGACAAGTACCGTTCTCCTGGCAACCGCCAAACCCAGACCCGTCCATCAGATTGCCAGATGGAGAAGCGCGATTCGTCACTCCAGAGAACGCGTCTCCACTGCTCTAGAGTCCAGTGGCGGCGTGCTTTACACCACCGCATCCGACGCTTTGCATTGCACTTGGTGATGTATGGCTTGGATGCAGCTGCTCGACCATGGAAACCCATTCCATGAAGCTCTCTGCGCACTGTTCTTGAGCTAATCTGAAGGCCACATGAAGTTTGGAGGTCTGTAGTGATTGACTCTGCAGAAAGTTGGCGACCTCTTCGCACTATGCGCGTCAGCATCCGCTGACCCCGCTCCGTCAGTTTACGTGGCCTACCACTTCGTGGCTGAGTTGCTGTCGTTCCCAAACACTTCCATTTTCTTATAATACAGCTGACAGTTGACTGTGGAATATTTAGGAGCGAGGAAATTTCACGACTGGATTTGTTGCACAGGTGGCATCCTATCACAGTTCCACGCTGGAATTCACTGAGCTCCTGAGAGCGACCCATTCTTTCACAAATGTTTGTAAAAACAGTCTGCATGCCTAGGTGCTTGAATTTATACACCTGTGGCCATGGAAGTGATTGGAACACCTGATTCCAATAATTTGGACGGGTGAGCAAATACTTTTGGCAATATAGTGTATATGTATATGTAAGCACAACACACACACATACCAATATATATGTAAAAATCATTTATTTCACTTTCTCAATTCACAATGTGAAACATAGATGTATTACACGGAATCTGAATTTTTCAAATGTTAATGGTTTTTGTTTTTTTTGCTTACAGTTCATAAAAACAAAATGTTTGGGATTAGAACATTAAATCATAAAAATGAAAAAGGAATTCAATAAAAAAAAAAACAACACCTAATAAAAAATATGGGCTAGCTTTACACAAATTTGTACCGTTTTCATACCAGTAAAATAATTTTACAAGTATAGCCATCTAAAAAAAAAAAAACATTACAGATAATATACACCTGAAGCTTTAAGCTTCGATATACACAGTTTGCATGGAGAGGAGTGAAACACGAAGTGTAGATGATGCAGAGCTCAGCGCTGCAACAATAGAAGGGATTACTTTTTAATAACTATATTATTAAAATATTTTTTGACTACTTTAATAATCAGTAGCTTTATTAACTTAGTTAAAAAATATTATCAAGACTCATCAACAAATAGATAAGTTATACCACTGATGATTAAAAAACAAGTACCACAAGTATGACCAATAGCAGTATGTTGAGCTCCAAATCTGCATTTACGAAAGAAATAATAAAGTTAGCTCTTAAAGTACAAAAAGTAAAAATAAATATAGGTATGACATAAAGGGTGTGCTCATTATAAAGTTCTAAAATAAACCGTCTTTTGTAGCAGAAGCTTGAATCTTAAACTGAATGTGTTAGAAAAATACAACTGCTACTCTCAGTCCAAATGTAATTTTTTCAAGGAACTGTTATTAAGACTCAGTGGTTAACTCATTCTGGGGAATAAAAATATGATGTGACACAGGCTCATTCCTCTTCTCTTGAAAACGAAAAGACGATATAAATGCAATTAGATTCATTTATTTAAAGGCTTAGTTTTTTGTATTTTTATTCTCAGTCTTGCTTATTAAACCAATAATCTTAGAAATTTAATACAAAAGTAACCCTGAGAGTCAGATGTTAAGTTTTATTCCCAGATATAACCAAACTTTGACAAACGTATAGAAAAATAAGTAAGAAAACAAACAATAAAAATCATAAATAAGAAGCAGCTACAGTGTAAAACCCCAGATGCCTTATTGTAAAATTCACCCACAGCCCTCAAAAATGGACTGTAATACTTATACTGGGAAAAAAAAACTGTGAACGCTTTATCAGAATCAGTGCATAGTTATTAATGATTGCTATAGTTCACAAAGGAAAGTAAAATACCAAATAGACCTCTGTAAAAGAAAAAAAAAACTGAATCTCATTCATCCCTAAACTTTCAAGCTTCTGTTTCCTTAAAGTGCCTGAGATCCAGTGACTGAGTTGTGATCTAACTGCACTCAAGATGTGTCAAACAACACCTGATCTGTGCAGAGAGAGAAGGCTGAGGGGTTTCTCTTTACAGAACTTCGTCAGCATGGTTCTGTCTGTCCTCACCGTCCTCCTTCTGAAGCTGCTGGTACTTTCTTTTGAAAAATCCAAACTAGAGAGTAAAAACATGGAGATTAATTACTTTCTTTAAACTTAACTCAGTAAAAATGCACTTTATTTCAGTTTTAGTACCAAGCCTCGTGAAACAGTATATTATATATATATATATATAATATATATATATATATATATAAAGCGACAGCAACATCAAGAAGAAAGAACACGAGAAGCTTGAGAAATACCAAGGGCTGAAAGAGGAGCTAGAAAAGATGTGGAAAGTAAGAGCATATATATATATATATATATATATATATATATATATATATATATATATATATATATATATATATATATATATATATATATATATATATATATATATATATATATATATTATAATTTGCCTCAACTGTATTATATTTATTATAGCTATTATGGATATAGGTAATCAAGGAACATTATATGCAGAGATGGCAAAAGTACTCATTTTCTGTACTTGAGAAAAAGTACAGATAGTTGTGTTAAAAAATACTCTGGTAAAAGTGGAAGTACTGATTAAACTTCTTTACTCAAGTAAAAGTAACAAAGTACAGGCTTGTAAATTTACTTAAAGTATAAAAGTAAAAGTAGAAACCACTTTTTTCATGCCGTTGCCTACATTTTAAATGGATGTCTGCCAATAGGACTAGATCTCCGTTGTTTTCATTTTCAATCATCTCGTCGTCCATACTACTATGCTAACGCCACCGCCACCAAGCTGCAATGATTTGCCGCGAATGAATACCGCCAAATATTTCGATTCATCTTGTAGTGGTGCGTCAAATGCAACAGATTCCCATCCAATTAAATTGAATTTGGTATTGATGACGTGAAAAATAATAACGGTAACTCCATTGAAATGATTCAAAACTAAAGTAAGGAGCCAATTTTTTTAAATGTAAGGAGTAGAAAGTACAGATATTTGTGTAAAAATGTAAGGAGTAGAAGTAAAAAGACAGTATAAAAATAAGTAGTAAAGTAAAGTAAAAATATCAGAAAAATCTACTTGAGTACAGTAACGAAGTATTTGTACTTCGTTACTTCCCATCTCTGATTATATTAGTAGCTCCCAATAAGAAGTACATGTCTAAAAATTGTTTTATCCTTGATCATTTAGCAAAATGTAGTTCTAAAAAAACAAAAAAACACTCCAACACTAAAGTAAATTTCTGAAATTACTTTTAGAAAGCCCTGAAAAGAAGTTTGAGATTACTTGAAGAGCTAATTAGCAGCTCTTGGCCATTAGGTGTAAAGAACACTGCGAATTGTGGAATGTCACTTTTTTATTTGTTTAGAGAATTATTTTGCAGAAATATGCACTGTTCTATGAATACTAATTTGTTTCATACCATCTTAAATAAAATGAAAATGAGTGTTTACCTTATAAAGCAGTCCAACAGCCAGAGCCAGCAGCACTAGTCCACCTATGACGCTACCTACTATGACACCAACTGGAACATCAGCTTTCCCTCCAGGTTTGCTGAATGTCACCCCCACCTGTACACAGAGGGTTTTTATAAGGTCTCTCTAATTTGATCTAACAGACTGTGGGCAAATAAGCAACACTTGATACCACGTCTCTTTGACAATGGATAACATGAAATTTTGAACTTACATCGAGATGCTTGTGCTTGATCATAAGCAGATCTGGGTTGGAGGTCTCCACATCCAGGCTGGAGGTCAGTACAGTGCTCTGATAGGAAGCCTGTCATGGCAAAAATAATGGGTTACAGAGGTCAGTAAAATGTTAGTTAACAGAAATGTAATAAAATCAAATTAATTTAAAAATGGTAGACAAAAAAGACAGAAGTTTTACCGTTATAAATGTCCCGTTCCAAATTCTTGTTTTAACCTTTACTAGATAATCTCTGTTGATTTCTATGTCTTTGAGGATGCACTGTATTTTCTCACATTTTGCACTTTTACAGTCCTGTCAGGTAAGAAAAAAAAGAAAATAAATATAAGTAAAATATTTAAATAAATGGAATAACAATGAGGACTAAATTGGGCCAATTTGGAAACATTTACAAGCAAAAAACAACAAACAGAATCCTGCAAGCCAAATATTGAGATAATAAGCAGATTGTTATTGTAGCACCCTCTAGTGGTAAAGTTGCCAGGAAAAAAAAAATTGACTACATTTTCTTTTTAAATTCAAACAAGTCAAGCTGTGTCTTCTGGTAACATTTTTACACTGCAGTAAATTTTGATTTGATACATCCCATCTCAGCCGGTGTTTACTTTCAGATTAAGATTTACAGTCCCTAAGAACATGTCTGGCTTTCATACAGCTAGAGACTGAATTGATTGCGATTACGTGTTTTTTTTTTTTTTTTTTTAAGGCTTTACCTTGATTTGGCCACTCAAATATCACTGTACTTTGATCTGAACCACTCGAATGTAAAGCAGGCCTTTTTTTTTTTGCCCTATATTTGGCTTTATCCTTTCAAAAACTCCAACCTTCCTATACCGGCTGACAAACAATCCCCTCCACAGCATGATGCTGCCACCATCCGGTTTCATTGTAAAAGTGGTTTATTCAGGGTGATGTTTGTTTGATCAGTAAAAGCAGAGCCATTTATGGCCTACTTTCAACAAATCAATTATTTTTTTTTTTTTGTTCACTAATATCAATTAGGAAACATGTTACCCATCAGAAAAGAGCTAGATTTTTACTAGATTTTATAGTAGTGGATTCAATCAAATCAATGGGAAATAAAGTTAAAAAACACTTTTTCCCTTTGTTTATAACTATACACTAAGACTGCTAGAAACGGTTATTTTACTAGTCAATTAATTTGTTAATTTTTTTCTGTTCAATTGATTAATAACCAGACAGCAGAAGACCTTTTTAGAGAATTAAAGCAGGTGAAACACATTTTTTCCCACTCCAGGAGTAGTGGGTACAGTAGAGAATATTAACAGATTAATTTTTTTTCCTATTTTTAAAACTATGGTATAATTACCCTCTAAGCGGGTCACTCTGTCAGCTTAAGGCATGTTTTAGAGTCTCTACACTCCAGTTAACCATGAATCGATTACTAAATTAGTTGATGCTTATTTCAATAAGTCATTAATCACAATTAATTATTCAATTGTTTTAGTCCTATCATGCATTTTTTTTTGCCTTTTAAAAAAAAATCCCAATAGAACAAATTGATGCTTGTTGATATAAGCTGATCAAATGCGGACACTAATACTTTTGTACACAAGAATTGAGGAAAAACTTCTATTTATGGAAGAGATGTTCTATTCCTGTACAACTAATCAGAAAAGAAGGCAGATTTAGACTTAGGTAGAAAACACAACCATAATTTTTTTTAACTACAACTTTGAGACAGCATAAGCATTGAGAGAAATATATAAAAGATGAAATGACTTACCAGTTTCTTTATACCTCCGAGACTCTCATCTGAGAAGGTAACCGGATGGTTTTTCACACCAATCTGCAGAGGATCCACTTGCCTGGTGTCACAGCTGAAAGATCCTCCCTGTATGCGAAGATGGTATAGTTATCAAACTCTATCAAAATACATAAGTACAAAAAATATATAGATTTTTGTATACATTACTTTAATAATATTGAAATCACTAAAATTTTCTTAATTGTAGAATCATAGCACTCACAGGTTGTGTCTCCACGCTTGTTAGATACAGGAGATGATTACCACCCTTTGTTTCTATTGGCAGATTTATATTAAGATAAAGGAGGCTGACAGGGAAAAGACCTGTTGAGACCTTTGAACACAGTTTGCATTAGTTGCTAAATTAATACAATAAAAAAAAATGAGACAATATAACTTTGTAAGGTGGATCTGGTAAATTCACCTTGACTGAAAAATTAAACTCTGGGCCAATGTCATCCAGAGTTTTCACCGTTGTGACCACTTCACTGGTTGAGTTTGCCACATAAAAGTTGATATTTGACCACCTGCAGAACAAAATGAAAGAAAAATAAAATGCTTCATGCTACCGTTCTCTAAATCCATAATACACTGAGAAAAAAATACAGCCTTACCAGGATATTGCCACCCCTGTGTCATATCGCACAGGGAAGGATATATGAACAGTATTGTCAGAAGGATTTTCCTCCTTGCCATCACTGCAAAATATACACACATCTCATCATTAGCTTATAGAAAGTCATTTAAAGATTAAAAGGCTTTCAATCTTTGTACCTCTTGGCCTCAAATGTCACTTCTGCCTTTTCTTGCAGATTATCAAAACTGTAATCAAATGTGAGCTTAAATTTAACCTGTAATGAGATAACATGGTGTTAATCTTTGATGTTTGAGAAATTTAAACTGATGCAAAATACAACCAGATAGTAAAACAGTAATAATATTTACCTCCTGGTCTTTCTTTAATACTGGATATCCCACCTGACAGCTGACTGTATCTTTCGGTGTTGATGTGCATTTGACTCCATCTATCTGGAAATAGACGGTCCATTACCAGAATATAAGGGATACACTTTTACAGAACGTGACTACTAGTTTAATTAATGCAAAGTTGATTTCAGTTGTTTTGCTCTTATCAGTATAAACATGATTAAACAACTAGTCACTTATGATTAGTGAGTAAACTTAAACACTCAATCATTAGAGAGCGAAGGTTTTCGAGCTGAATGATACAAAATGTTTAGGAATGATTTGATATCAATCCTATATAGATATTAAAGCTGCACCCTAAAAGAAAATTCAACGCCATCATTGTGGTCTAAAGCGATAATATCTGTTATTCCAAAACCAGGTAAAAACAAGGACTGCTGTGCTAATTATGGTCCAATTTCAGTTTTAAACATGACATTAAATTAAATACATCAATTATTTCCAAAAGAATAAATACATTTGTATCAGAGTTAATTGATGAAGATCAGAAAGGGTTTATACATGGACGCCAAACACATGATAAAATTTGAAAAACTCTACATGAAACAGAGAGGGCACAGAGAGAGAAAAGGAGAAGAGTTTTGCTCAGTATAGATGCAGAAAAGGCTTTAAACTATTTTACTCTGAACTTTTTGTATCAAGTCTTGGGAAAAACAGGGTTTAATGATCAATCAATTGGAATAGTTCAAACGTTTTACGGTCAGCCAACTGCTAGAATTAAAATAAATGGAAATCTTACAGATAAAATCAGTCTACAAAGATCCACTAGACAGGGATGTGGGCTCTCTCCTACACTCTCCTCAGTTTTTATCGAATCTCTGGTGCAAGCAGTATGACAAAGTCAGGAAATAAAAGCAGTTTTTAATAATGGAGTAGAACATAAAAAAGGGCTTTTTTGCTGATGATGTGATTGTATTCCTGGAAGAACCAAACACTTTATGACCTAAATTTATTCATCTCTAGGATTATTTTAAACATATGTGTCTGGATATAAAATAAACATGTCAAAAACCCAAATTCTAAGATTCAATTAAGTATCTTTAGAAAGTATAAAAACAGCCTCCAAATTTAATTGGAAATTGGAATAAATCAAATACCTAGGTGTTGAAATAACACAAGACCTTTTTTGATATTAATAATAAAAACTACATACAAGTCCAATATACAAAAGGATATCACAAGATCGGCCAGATTATCATTAGATTTTAGCTGAATGATTGAAATGAAAAAATGAAAATATAACCCAGATATTTATATCTATTCCAAGCATTGCCAGTAGAGGTCACTCAAATACAATTTGTAACTTGGCATAGAATAATATCCAGATTTATTTGGAAATGTAAGACACCTCGGGGAAAGTATGGAACTCTTTAGCGACCCAAAAAGGAAGGAGGGATGACATTACCAAATTTAAGAGACTATTATTATGCAGCACAACTTAAATATGAATATTGTCAGTGTAATCCAAATTATAAAGGTAAATGGAAAGCTATTGAAACAGGATCTATGAAACAACCAATTCAAAACCTCATTGGAGACAAAGACGCATATGAACAAAATAAAAGCTGCCTAATAATAATAATAATAATAATACATTTTATTTAACAGCGCCTTTCTTGACACTCAAGGTCACTTTACAAATAATACAAAAAAATAAATAAAAAGAGATGAAAATACAAAATACAGATACAGGAACATAAAAAACAAAAAAACAAAAAAACAATCTAGATCTAACAATTATACATACATTTAGTGTATGGCATCAAATGCTCAAGAGATATAATCTTCAAAAACATGCAGCAAAATCAAAATGAAAAAAATTTATACCAACTACATTAGACTACAGTTTTAAATACTGGATAACTAAGGGAGTCACAGCCTGGTGTGTTCTGGAGAACAATAGAAGGTTAGAAAGCTTCCAAAGTTTGACACAAAAATACCAATTAGGCAGTCATGATTTTTTTTCATTAACTACAAATGAGAGACTATTATAGAAGAGAAACTCAGGTGGGTCCCTCCATGGAAGAGAGCAAGAATTAGGATAATCTCTGCATTATATGAAGCCATGTACAATGATAAGCACACAACCCAAAAAGTGAAATCAAAAAGGGAAAGGAATTTAACACGAAGATTGATTTATGGATTGGCTAGACATGTGGAAATTCCATCCTACAACTACAAGGTTTCTGACATGGAAAGAATTCGCCTGGAAATTCCTTTAAGATTTTTTATTACACCAAAATTAAAAAGCAAACAATTAAATAAGCAACATGAATGCTGGAGAGAATGTAGAGAGACAGATGTTGATCATTCACACATTTTTTGGAAATGCCTGGAACCTCTAGAGTTTTGGAAAAATGGACACTGTTCAAGCAAAGTAATAAACAATTATGTATACCCAGGTTAATGTTGTAAATGTTCGCTTTTAAAAGTTCAATAAAATATCAGTAACAAAAAATTTAAACACTCAAAAATGTTAAATACTTACAGGAGACACAGAGGAGTAGTAGAGGTTGCTGGAGAAGGTGGCTGTGACCTGTGTGTTGTACGCATTCTCTTTTTCATTCTTCACAACAACTTCGAATTTTAGTTCTCGATTATTCGCGCTAACCTGAAACGGATTAGAGCTACAACAGAAGAGAAAAGAACACTTTACTCAGTATTACTGTGAAGTTGGATTGCAAAGAAAAATGTTCCTTTTATTTTACAAGGATAATTTATTTTAACTGACCTAGCTTTGCACCACACTCAAAATGCTATATAGAAGCGGATATAGCTATTGTATTTCTAAAAGCTTTGGTACGGCTTACTTTATTTATTGATCTTCTTTGATGTGAGTTTAGTAACTTAATATGCATATTTTGAAGTTTAAAAGTCTGACCAGACCACTTTATATGTTCATTTAGTGGCACTTGAAACAATAATTAACAACAGTCATTCTTCAGATTTCACGTTTGCAGCTGCAGAAACCTTCAACAGTTCAAGTTTAGTTTTTTTGACTGATTTTGAATTTATTGGCCGGTTTCTTTGTTGTTCTGACCAGATTATCTGGATACTTTTTCCGCTGAAAGATTCAGTAGCAATCATTGTTTCCAGGCACTTTTTTATTGCTTGTTTTACGTCAGTCACCATGAGTGAGTAGTTTCATCAAAGGAAAGTGTATTTTCCAACAAAGTCCCAATTGCACTCAAAAAATCCACCACATATATTTTGTAACAGTAGAAGAAACTAGACAAGCGTTTTGTTACCCTTCCTTCCAAGATGAGCGTTTGGAATGCGAGTCAAATTAAATCAATGACATAAGATGGCACTCTTTTTCCATAAAACCGAGTAGTGCATGGTGCTCAATGCATGTGGATAAAATTTGCACATCAATTTTTATCACAGTAGTTTGTTTATACAGTTTTAACTCGGACTGTATCTTTGACTAATTAAAAAAAACGCCAATTTTTTTTGTTACAATTTGCTGAGATAAAGGTTTTTGCGCTGATCCATTCATTTACATATACATGAATATGTGAGACATTATGCAGCAGCAATTTATTTTTATTATTAAGTCCATTTTCCACATCTTTCCTGGGGCTGAAGGTAACTGTGGAGGGTGTTTGCATGTCCACAATGTTCTATGACATCTTGACACTTAATAAATGGTTCACACTTGTTGCTCTGTCAGAAAATTATAGGGCTTTAAGGTTAATACTAGAAGAGATGTTGCGATTTGCACCTGAGGAAGATGCAAACACAGTGTTTTAACACATGACTCATCCTTACAGTCAGCAGTTTAAATGGAAACATCTGCTGCATGACAATCATGATGGAACAGGGAAAAATTACACATAGATCTTCACAAAACATCTCTTATTATTACTGAAATTGTTGCTTCACCAGCTCTGGTTGGGTAAAATCTGATCATTTTCAGTTTGAGACAAGTTAATAAACAAGCAAATAAATACTCTAAACAATAGAATATTCTCAGGTATGCAGTACGGGTAGATAAGGAGTGAAATATGGAGGAGATCAGCACAACAGTACTGTCATTTTTCTTTGTACTGGGATGCAATGAGCTGTTATTCTTACCTGGATACCTGACTGTCTGTTTTTACACTGAGCTTCAGATCATTAACACACACTTCATCAGAGCCACAGTCTTTTGTGAAAGGAATCTGAAACAGCAAAGGTTTGAAACATTAATTGGCAGATGATAGGTTTGAACATTTATTTCTAAGAAACCTATGGCTTTCTTATTTGGTGCACTTTCATTTCTATTTTCTGAATACATAAAAGACACAGGACATGCTTGACTAAGTGAAAAAGGACATTAAATGCTGCACAGGACAAGGTGTTTTTTGCACTGTAAGTACATCAAATATGGACTTTATCCAAAAAAAAAAAAAAAAAAAAGGATTTATTATTACAGAAGATTTTTTTTATCATTGTTTTTTTTAACTTTACTTACAAAGAATTCAAAGGCTTTTGGAGAGATGTTGTCGAGAACAGGGTTCCTGTTTGGATCTTCTTGCTTAACTTCCACTTTTAGACTCAGAGAGTTTAGAAAGTCTGGTGTTTCCTGTTTGTTCGATTAAAAAAAAGAGCAGTGTAGGTCTGAGTCTGCACAAATTAGTCCGAAAGAAACAAAACAGACTCAAAAAGACACAACTGTGAATCCTTACCTGAACATAAACCTCTCGATCTACACATTGGACCGAAGATGATATGTTTGCATACTCTTTCAGGTAGCGCTCATTGTTACTTTTAAAAAGTCCTCTTGAAGCCACCCTTGAATCACTCAAGTCAGCATCCAGAGTCAATGTATAGGATATGTCTAAAATTAAAACAAAATGTTTTAATTGAATTTTTGCCAAACTACAATCAACATCTAAATATCTGTTATTCTACGAGTTGCTTAAACATTAGAAAACAGTGTAAGCAACTTAACAATTGTTAAAATAATAAAGATTCAAACATATAATTTCTTAATTATTTGCAGATTCTAATGTTTGAACCAAATAAAAAATGAAAACTCGTGACAATTTTAACATCTACTACACATATTGCATACAATCTAGCAAATATTATAGTTTTTTATTATTTTATTTGCAGATGATCAGTAAAGATATTAACCAGTATTATTGTAAACGGACGCCTCTGCTGCAAACAGATATTTACATACCAGATAGAAAGGATACTCATCTATTTATATTTGACACAAAATCACCAAAAATATTGAACATTTTTAGGTCAGTAAAGTTCCCCTAAATTAGTTTATCTTATAATCGCCAGTATAAAGAAAACATTTCCCCCCCACTTTCCTTAAAGTCAGAAGTAAGATAAAGAAGTCAGATTGAGGGTCTGCAGCTCTGTCCTTTTCTACAGGTTTTCAGAAGATTGAAACCTTGGTTCAGTCCTGAAGGATTTTTTTTTTTTTTAGGTTATCATAAAAGTGTTGCGAATATTGAAGTCATTTTCCATTTAGCCCTAACTGTATCTTCTTGGCTAAGAACTTGTTGCTTATCTTTGCTTAGATGCAGCTTTGCATCTGATATTGAAAACCTTGTATCTTGCTTAATGTTGCCATGCTGTTCCTTCCTCTTGATACCATCTCTTTAGATAAGTGCCCCACTTACTTTTGCACCATATGGTGATGCAGCTACTCCCTTACTTCATGGCTGAAGTACCTAATCAAATAGTTTAGCCAAAATAGGATAAAATTGGAAGACAGTAAGAGCTTCACTCAGTTTTTTGAAGGTATTTCCACACCTATCCCTGAGGTTTTGTAAATTCTGTTAGCTAGGGGCAGAGCATTCTGTAACACTGATGTATTTAAGCAGCCTGGAGGGTCCGTCCTTCTAAGCCCGTTCTAAGTCAGAGGCAAATCAAATAGCCATCTCTCGTTTTCTCCACCAATCTAGAAGAATCAAACAAGACTCCAACTATCTAAACGTTTAAGCGTGTTTGGTGCTTAATTAAAAAGTTTTATTTTCAGCTAATCAGCTCCCCTCATCTTTCTTAAAAAAAAAAGTTTTTCTTTTCTTTTTTTTTCAGATCTCAGGGCATAGCTTAAGAAATTCTAGATTTTTTCCCTTAGTGTGTTTTAAAGATGCTTTTGGTGTAATGGCCTCTCCCATTTAAATCAACCCTCACCCATACACTGAACGACAAAAATGTGTCATTTTGATCTTGGACTGGCGACCTGTCCAGGGTGTACCCCGCCTCTCGCCCATTGACTACTGGAGATAGGCACCAGCACCCCTCGCGACCCCAATTGGGACAAGCGTGTAAGATAATGGATGGATGGATGGATGGATGGATATTTTGACCTTGTTTTGAGGATGGACATACACTTAGCAACAACATATGGTTGCCTCTGGAACACAGGACCATCTTCAACGGTACCAGGCCTGGATATTTCTGTGATGTTTACATTCCTTTCAACAGATAAATCTGACAGTTTCAGGCTTGTGGAATAGGGATATAACACAAATTCAGATTTGTGTTTTTTTGCCTAAATTCTTTTGCTGCTCAGGTGATGTCACACAAATTGTGTGATTTGGGATTTTTTAGTTTCATTCTGTGATGATGTTTGCACTCAGCTTTGGTTTAGGTGATGGGGGAAAAAAATAATTTGCACCTGCTTGGAAAGTGGATTGGAAGTGTTTAAAAGTTCTCAGCATTTTTTTAAACTATATTGCTCTTTAACTTTTCACAGATGTCTTCCATGTTACACATCATTCCATATTTACTCCACTTAGTTTTTCAAATCTGGCTCCAAAATCTAAGATTTTCTTCCTCTTCACCTAATTTATGACCCTTGGATATGTGATTTCATTGGCTGCCCACAAAATTTGACTAAAATACATAGCTTCAGTTTTCATTTCACAATAACAAAAAAGTTAGAGTAAAACCAGCACTGACTGTGCAACAAAAAAATGAGGAAGAGTAGATCTGATTAAACCTACATCCCTTTCATTCTCTTTTGTCACAGTCTCTAGGCTTCTTCAGATCTATTGGTTAAAGTAGATATCAGGATTGTGTCTTACCTACAGGTCCCACGGGAGTCTTAGGCCTGAATGAAGCGCTAAAACAGACCTTTGCATGGAAACAAAAATGCTTGCGCCCATTAACGTCACAGTCTTTGTTTAAAATGCTGATTCTATCCGGTTGGAAGGTGGCTGTAGCCTTAACAATTGCCACCCCTCTGGACCTGTGAAATCAAAGATTTATTATTAATATATGTCACCTTTTTGTCATGATCACGACAGACAGACAGACAGACAGATAGGCAGACTTTCCCTACTCATTATGGACAGAATCGAAAAATAAAAAGTCCAAACATCTGAGTAAAGAATTGTGGCTTGGTTGATGTTTTTTTTAAACAACCCACTCATTTCCTGTATTAACTGTACCTGTGTGAAATCGTAACCTTCTAGAAACACTCAATCAGGCAGACTCCAACCTCTCCACTACGGTCAAGACTAGCGAGCTGTGTGAGGATATCAGGAATAAAATAGAAGACCTGGACAAAGTTGGGATGGATTACAGAAAAAATTCTGAGTACAGGTGAGTAAAGGTGAGTGGTTAAATGGCAACTGCTGGTGCCATTAAAAGGAAAGATAAGTTTTAAATGACGCAGATGAAGTGTCATTCTTTCAATGCACACAAGGTCCCTCTGCTCAAGTCAGCACATGTCCAGGCCTGTGTGAAGTTGGCAGATGACAATCTGGATTATCCAAAGGGGGAGTTATGTTGTCTGAGTAAGTCAGTAAAGATAGGTCATGGCTGGGTTTTCCAGCATGACAATGACATGAAGCACAAAGGTAGAGCAACCAAGAGTGTCTCTGTATCTGTATTCTCTGCATTTCCAGCCAGTCTCCAGACCTGAGCCCAGCCCAAAGTCCTTATAGCCAAGTGACATTGAGTGTTTCTGTACAAAATATAAAGTTTTGTTTTTCCTTATGTATCAAATACTTGACATGATATAAAATGCAAAATAATCACTTAAAGATTATTTAATGGGATTACAGGATTACCTCTGTAGATCCCGTCACAGTTTAAGAGCACCTATAATTCAAAATAAAAGAGTTCTACTGCACAGGCTTTGCAAGGGGGAAAACCTGCAACATCGGCAGCGTACCCAATACTTGTTCCCCCAACTGTATATCTATAGATACACAAACATGTACAACTCACCAGAGCTGGACAACTTTTCCATGAGCACCAATGGAGATGTCAGGAATGGTATCACCATTCAGGTCTTTGTAGCTATCTAACGATCTTCCGAAATATTGAATACCACGATCCAAATCATAGCCTGGGATTCTCTGTGAAGCAATAGGCACATTTAAACCAAAAATGATCATCGCCCTGGTAAAATTAGTTTTATAGTTATTTTCAGTCAAAAAAACAAACAATAAAGCAGAATAACTGCCTAGGATTCAAAGTAAAAAGGGTCGGGTCCCCTAAGCATCACACACTGATTTTTATACAAGCAAAAGCAATATAATCTAAATAAATTCACATGGACTGGAGGTAAACCACCTGTTTCTAAATTCAAAGTAAGGAACAGTGTCAGTAGAGACCAGCACCAATTTAAATTTCAGAGAAACCTGTGGTAAACAGAACCACTTCTTGCACACATGAGAAGGGTGGAGCTGATGGAGCAGGCAGAACAGAAATGAAAAATGGACATGAAACTAAACATTATTCTGCCAAACTTTAATCCTGGAGCTTCAGGTGTTGAAAGTTGACCAGAACAGGTTCACAATTATAAACTGATTTGAGTTTTTATTTTCCCTCCCAATCGTCTCTCTTGGATCACTGCTAGGGATCAGGTATTAGCCTCAGAACAGCATTGAATTAATAAAAAGAGCTCTAAAATAAAATGATGACTGAATCCAACTAAAATTAGGTCCCAGATGCTTTGTTTTACATCTTTACAGAAAAATAGGTAGACTCTTAGTTTACTTTAGAAGAGTGTTTCCCAACTGGGGGTACGTGCATTGCAAGGGGAACATGGAAATAATTTATTTATTACATAGTAAAATAAAATAGGGCTGGGATCTGTTTTGCTTTAGAGGACCAAAAAACAAACAAAAAAAACAAGCTTTTTTCAACCAAAAAGAACGTTTTTCTTAAATGATTGAGTCCACCTTCAGCTGTGACACACATCCAAACCAAGCAGAGGAACAGACTGGATGTGGAGAACAGCCTGGTATCAGCTGTTTTTCACACTGAGCTATTGGAGCTCATCAAAGCAGCTCAGGTGTTTTGATAAAAACAAAGTGAAACTAGAAAACTCAGCCTAAGCATAATTTTTGTCCTGTATTTTGTTCCAAATTCAATGAGTGTAAATGTTATTATAGGAGAGTTACTCTGAGAAGCTCAAGCTTTATAAATACAGGTTTATAATATTTTATTTAGTATTTATTTGGATTCCTAACTAACTTCTTGGCAAAATATGTATGATGTATTTTTTATTTCAGATGAAAAGCATAAAATTATAAGAATTAAATCAAATCAAATTCAAAGAGTAAGTAAAACGCTCTTTAGTTTATAATCAGTTACGGTATTTTACATTCCACTTTTGAATAATCATCAGTACTTTTGACTGAGAAAGGTACTAATGGTAAGTTTTGTGTCACCCTTTAGGTTATTTAAATTAATGGTAATTTAGTTTTAGTCAGACTCTTGTTTAGAAATATAAATCATTTCTTCCAACTGATTTTTGATCAAATTTTAAATGCAGGTTATGGCGCACACACGACCCATGTATGGAGGCCTTAGTCCTCGATGCGGGCGACCGGGTTTTAAATCTGGCCTGTGGTCCTTTCCCGCATGTCTCTCCCCCTCTCTCATACCCCCTTTCCTGTCAGTCTACTGTCCAAATAAATTAGCCACTAGTGCTGTAAAAACAAAAAAAGAAACATGGCCTATCAGCGAATCATATTGTTTTAGAGACATACAGTCTATTCTAATGTTTCTTAGTTTGGTGTTGTACCTGTGAGAACTCTTTTATTAGGCCCGTCTTATAGCCATTGTAGATGTAAATAACGCCCCTGTCCTCCATTGGGGCTCCAACCACAACATCACTGTTGCCATCCAGGTCAAGGTCAGGAATGACAGAGATAGCCATTCCAAAACGTGCATCTTCATTTCCAGAAGGACCGATGAGGAAACCCTGCTCATCCAGAATTCCCTTTACAGGAAAAGGCAGACAATGTGAGACTGATGGCCGAGGATGAGATAAAACAAAAATGTGGTGAAGAAAATGTTTTCTTACCTTGGTGACAGAGAATATGTAGACCTTTCCTTCCTCTCTCTTCAACTCGTTCATGTACATGGGAGCTCCAACCAGAAGCAAATCTGTCACCCCGTCATTGTCCACATCCACTGAGCACAAAACGCTTCCAAAGTATGACCCAATCTGTAACAAGTTCAGATATTTACCATCCTGCTGTAAACTGCCTCTACTGGTTAAAAACATCATCAATATTGACTACCTGTTTCCCTCTTTCTGAATCCACAACCACAACTTGCTTCTGGGCATTCATGGTGTAGACAATCACTTGTCCAGAGTGGTTGGAGCGAGGTGCTCCAGCTACAAAGTACTCTGTTGGCCCATCAGTCAGGGTGGTGACTGCATAACCTGTTCAGGAGCACAAATAATAAACACATATATAGAGCGCTTAATATGACTTAGACAACATTTATCATCATTTTGTATGCAAAGAGTGTACACAAAACGAAATTTCGTTTTGTACAGCTCTCATAACATTTCAATTTTTCGTAAAGTGCAGCAGTGATCAGATGCAAGCATTCATTTTTTACATTTATTTATTTACTTTGGTTGATTACATTGGGAGTAAGCTGCAAGTTATTATTGATGATGCAAAAATTAATTACCTGAGTAACTGTAATAGATGATTAAACTACAAATGTCATGTAAGGATGCCAGTCGAAATGTTCTGATCAGATTCAACAGGATCGGAATGAGATTGTAAAGCAAATAACTACATTTACATGGACACAATGTCCCCACTGCCATATACACTCACCGGCCACTTTATTAGGCACACCTGTTCAACTGCTCGTTAACACTTAATTTCTAAGCAGCCAATCACATGGCGGCAACTCAGTGCATTTAGGCATGTAGACATGGTCAAGACAATCTCCTGCAGTTCAAACCGAGCATCAGTATGGGGAAGAAAGGTGATTTGAGTGACTTTGAACGTGGCATGATTGTTGGTGCCAGAAGGGCTGGTCTGAGTATTTCAGAAACTGCTGATCTACTGGGATTTTCACGCACAACCATCTCTAGGGTTTACAGAGAATGGTCCGAAAAAGAAAAAACATCCAGTGAGTGGCAGTTCTGTGGGCAGAAATGCCTTGTTGATGCCAGAGGTCAGAGGAGAATGGCCAGACTGGTTCGAGCTGATAGAAGGGCAACAGTGACTCAAATAACCACCCGTTACAACCAAGGTGGACAGAAGAGCATCTCTGAACGCACAGTACGTCGAACTTTGAGGCAGATGGGCTACAGCAGCAGAAGACCACACCGGGTGCCATACCTTTCAGCTGAGAACAGGAAACTGAGGCTACAATTTGCACCAGCTCATTGAAATTGGACATTAGAAGATTGGAAAAACGTTGCCTGGTCTGATGAGTCGATTTCTGCTGCGACATTCGGATGGTAGGGTCAGAATTTGGCGCCTACAACATGAAAGCATGGATCCATCCTGCCTTGTATCAACGGTTCAGGCTGGTGGTGGTGGCGTCATGGTGTGGGGAATATTTTCTTGGCACTCTTTGGGCCCCTTGGTACCAACTGAGCATCGTTGCAACGCCACAGCCTACCTGAATATTGCTGCTGACCATGTCCATCCCTTTATGACCACAATGTACCCAACTTCTGATGGCTACTTTCAGCAGGATAATGCGCCATGTCATAAAGCTGGAATCATCTCAGACTGGTTTCTTGAACATGACAATGAGTTCACTGTACTCAAATGGCCTCCACAGTCACCAGATCTCAATCCAATAGAGCATCTTTGGGATGTGGTGGAACGGGAGATTCGCATCATGGATGTGCAGCCGACAAATCTGCGGCAACTGTGTGATGCCATCATGTCAATATGGACCAAACTCTCTGAGGAATGCTTCCAGCACCTTGTTGAATCTATGCCACGAAGAACTGAGGCAGTTCTGAAGGCAAAAGGGGGTCCAACCCGTTACTTGCATGGGGTACCTAATAAAGTGGCCGGTGAGTGTATGTATGACACATTTTTAGTGTGATCGGCCGTTTCGTTCCTATTACTTATACATAGATAAACAGTATCATTCTATATTTTTTGTTAAATCTGAGTATATTTCAATCCAATAATACAATTTTCTGCATGTAAACAAAGCTAAGGAGAGCAGCAGTTTATGCCAAATGACAATCTTATCAACACGCCTGTAAAGGGTTTTCAGGGTCAACTTATTCTTAGTGAGGCAAGCTGAGCTGAGTGTGCATGTGCACCCAGCATCAATGTGATATATTCTCGCTTTGATTGATTAGATGTTAGATTATAACAATTTACATGTTACAAATCTTTCGTCCCATCCGCCATTTTATTCCATTACTTATGTGTATGCAATGGTACAATCTGATTATTTTGTGCATGTAAACATAGCTAAAGACACCTTTCCAGTAAACTACTATGCCAGCGTTGTCCCTGTTCTCTATGAAACAGAAGTTGTTTACATGGACATAAATATTGTAAATCAATTGCCGATTGAAACAGAAATTCATCATGTCCGCACACCAAATAGAATATGGTTGGATTAAGCTCAGTCTGAATAAAATTGTTTCGGGTTGAGAGGGATAGTTTAAGCACATCTATTATCCACTTTCTGTCCACCTGTCATTTAGGCAAGGGCAAACTGAACTGATGGCGCCTGTGTGTGGAGGATGGGGCAGCAGAGGAATGCCTTCACCTAAAATCTTCAGAGTTTGCCTCCTAGATGGAGGGCAGGAGAACAGAATTAAGAGTATATTTACGGTAATTAGTTCTTCTGCTGCCTAACTATATTCACGGTCTGGCTCCAAACTGTGGCTTAAGTTCAATTCCCGTCCTTTTTGTTTTTTTAATCTATATTTTTGATTTTGTTGGTTCGTCTGGACTTTTTCCCACTTTTCTCACAAAAAGTTTTTGTGTAAAGCATTATTTTTCTTCATAAGATCTTCTTGATATATGCTTTCAATGATTATTGAAGTTATGTATAATACTTAAAGTTTCTTTCATTATTTTATGTTTATCCAATTAGTAGACACAGTTTGTGTAGAGTGTAGTCCATTTTCTTTACTTTATTGTTCTTTTAGTCCAGTGTGTATATGTATGATTTAATTTGGCTACTTTGTTCGCTGCTAGCGCAACAGAACATTCTTATATTAGACTGAATATTTAGCACTTTAATCTTCCATCCACTTTACATGGGCACCAACCAAATTACTCGTTAAACTGCTAACCAACTCAGCATCCGTATAATGTGAACATTAGAAAACACAATCATACTATCAAGCAAATATTTACAGTTTTGGGACAATGTATACACCATACCCAGCAGTGAGCTATGATTTCTCTCTTGAAGTACTCCCTCAAAGGCAGAGAAAGGGAAAATGGTTGCTTTAGATCCTTTTTGATGGACGACAGTCCCACTCCAGGCATAAGCTCCTACTGCACCAAGCATCATCACAGCCTAGAAGAGCAAGGAGCCCAGTTCATACTGTACAAACTTTAAGAAAACCATTCTTGTAGGGATTATCTTACAAGAGAACTGAGATTCTGTGATGTACAACCATTAACAATTACTTTATACATTTTTTTCTGCTACTGTGTTGTTTCTGTACCTGCTGTTTGGCGTAGTGTGCACTAAATCCAACCTGAGACATTTCCATTTTAAAGTTATCCTCCCCTTTTCCAGTACCTAAGGGGAAGAAAGCATTATAAAGCACAAGTTAAAAACAGCAGCACTGATCAACGACAGCCATTATGAAGTGTATTTTGCATTTATTGTTGCTCTAAGTGAAAGTGAAAACAATACAGGAACAATATGCACCCTCTATGTTGAAGATCCGATTTCCTAAACTCCCGGCAATTGTGGAAAGGACTGCTTCCTCTGACACATTGAAGAAGTATTTCTCTTTTGGCGTGCTGGCTATGGATTTGATTTCCTCGATAAGGTTTGTTGTATCTAAGTTATTTCTGGAGTAGTAACCCAACACCTGTGGCAAACAAACATGAAGAGTAAACATGGACATATTAATATGAAATAAATAATGTATATAAAAAAAGTAAAATATCACAAAACATTAGAAAGTTGTCTTTGTCTACTGATTGACTCTTTACCACCCTTTCTCGATAGCCACAGTCAGATTTATGGTAGGTTATGCTCTAACCAGCTGAATTTATAGCTGATTTCCCCCAATACAGTGCAAAAAATGTCATAACTTGATGACACTTTATTGTGCCTTTTGCAGAGTCACTTAAAGAATTTTGAGATGAGGGAAGAGATGCCCCTCCCAATCAATTTACAGGTTCTTTGATGGATGTTCTCTGCCACCCTTTAATATTCTATTTTGAGTTCATTTTACAAACATGCTACGATATTTAAGTCAAGTCATTTTTTCCCCTGTTTTACTTAATTGTATAAAGATTGTCTGTAATCCCGCTGCATTTTTCCCCCGGCACAGACCTTTTTTTCCCTCCATCCTTCTTTTTTTTTTTTTGAAAGTGGAGCCTTACATTTTAAATAATTTTGCATCTGAATTTAATGTTTTAACAAGAATAAAATATAAATAATATCATGTATGAATTAAATGAAAATTTATATTTCATAGATTTTCTTTTATAAAGATTATAAAATAAGGATACTGGTAAGAAGACAACAAAGTGACATTAAAAGGTTTGTAGACTAGAAAAAGTCAAAAGAAGTGTCATTCTTATTAACATAATTTGATGGAGATAAGACAAATTAATCTTTAACTATTTAAAATAGGTTGAATAATAAAAAATAATACACAATGTAATTTGCAATTTATGCACAATGCAAACCGCAAAGTTTGGATAACTAGTTTTAATTCCAACATCAACTTTTCTTTTGACTTTTTTTTTCTTTTTTTTTTTTTTTAAGAAAACGTAAAATCAGTGACTTTTAGTTAACAGACAAAACATTCATTTCTGTTCATATTTTTCCAAATTTGTCTTAGCTTATTCTACATATAAATATTATTTTTAGGCTTTTTACACAAATTTAGTAAAGATGCAGAGACATTTTGGTTTCTATTGAATTGTAGTTTGTGTAAAGATTTATAAAAACCATTATCTGGTCATACTTGAAGGAATTTGCCCATTAATATTGAGAGTCAATAAATACACAAGTATGACTCCTGACTTTTATTCATGCTTTAACTCTTTTTGTGCTTTGAGACCACTTTTTCTCCATTTATACAGCACCTGTAGCCTTACCAGTGAAATAACTTTTAGTTTTATTTTCCACCTGTAGCTCAGCCTTCCATGTGGGTGCCTAAACTGCTGCAGGACTTTGTACACAAACCCTTTCGTGCTAAACAGAACAAACTTAAAAATTACATACCCTAATGTATTTATGTCCAGAAGTTTCATGAGATTTCCCATCTGACAGTTAAATGTTCTGCATGAAACTGGTTTGTGAAGTATGCTGCTCCTGTCATTTGGCTGGAGAAAATACACTAACCTAAAGTTGTCATGTGATTTGTGGGTTCTCTCCGACAATTATAAAAAAAATTACCATGTGAACCAGCGTTAAGAGATTACTTTGCATAAAAAATAAATATAATGGGATTTGTTATAACAATGTTTGCATTTTGTTTTACAGTGTTTTCTGTTTATTCCTTCAAAGTGATACTATTTGATTTAAAGAAACTAAAACAGTAGTGTATTAGTATTAGAGAAACTCAGTCACTCAAAGTATCAAGTTATTATTGGTTGTAAGTTTAGACTAGGGGTTTTAATGAACCCATGGGCCCTTACCTCTTCAGACAGGTATAAAGGGATACATAAATAAAAATAATGTCATACCGCAATACCAAATCGGGTGATGCCTTGCTTTTCACACAAAGCGATGATTTCATCTTTTTTGTCCTTATCGTGTGACTCCCCATCAGTAACAACCACCAGAACTTTAGCAGCACCAGGTCGACCCCCATTAGCTTGAGTGAAACCTTGCTCACTGAGGTAAGGATAGAAACATAGGACATAATTAAGCAAAATAACACTTTAACTGTAGACAGACTGTACATCAATTTTAAAAGGATACACTTTTATTGTAAAACCAACCTGGCGAACTGGATCGCTTGGAAGGTATTGGTAAGTGTACCATACTTCTGTTGGATTTGGGATGCTGCATAACTCATCTCATTTTTGTTTGTGTACTGATTCAGTTTAAATTCGATCCTTGGGTCAACACCATACTGTATGACGCTCATCTGGGGAATGAAGGAAAAACTAGCATGAAGAAGAGCACTAAAATAGAGTAGTGTGCAGAAAAGGAGGTCCAAACTTGGTAAAAGTTTTTGGTGTAAATGTGTTAGTCACCTGTGTACTCTGAGGCCCAATATCTAATGAAGGTATTAATTTGAGCAGGAAATCTGTCATTGGTTTCCATGGAAAAATGCTGTTTGAGCCATCCAAAACAATCACAATGTCCATTGGCCCTCCACATGCTGTAAAAATCAGAGGGAGTGTCAGAGCAACATATTTAAAAAAGCAAAACAAGCAACATCTTAAACAAAGTCTTTTTCACTGTTGGACCAAATATAAATATTGCCCCTTCTGATCTATTGCTCCAAAAAGCGAAGTTCTGCCTGCAGCCTTGCTTTCACTGAGAACACTTCATTGAACATGATCTCAGTTTTGAAAATTATTCAATTTGCTTTTCAAAAGCAGGAATCATTGTAAGAATAAGGACAGAAAAAACACCAGAAATATGTAAATTCTGTCTCCCAACAGGATTTTGTATATATGGAGTTGGTGGGAGGAACTCTAGTTAACTATAGATTCACAGTGGACACAGGGAAAGAAAGTGCCTAATTTACTGTACCTTAGAAAATGTGACAACTTACTGTAAGCTAATAAGTGTGTCATACTTACTCACCATCAAAATTAATCAAAACACATGCAAAAAAAAACAATTTCAACACTAAGCAGATAAAAACAATCAACCCCCCACTGAGAAAAAAAAGAGCAAGTTTAACCGAATCACCAATTTACATGCAAAACTCACTGACCCAGCTGATTAAGGGGAATAATGAGCCTCATTTCATGAAGCCAAAAATAAATTTTGTGTTAACCTTAAGGTCATAATCCATGCAAGATGAAATATTCCCACATTGCTCCTCTAATCCATTGTCCCAGGGTCATAGATACATGCGACTTCTGAATGTTTTCGGCTTTTTTCATCTCATATTGGCAACGTGACTATAAGAATTGGATATGGACTCTATTGCCGCTGATGCATGGGCATTTCAGCCGTTCATAAATATTTGGAGCAGATAAAAAAACAAACATCCAGTTCATTTGATTTAATTAGTCAATCCTCCTTTTCTTTATAATAAGTGTGGAAAAAAATTGCTAGTTTTTTCTGTGAGGCAGAAAAGAAATTAGATGAATAAGTTCAAACACCATGGGCCGAATCTAAAAAAGATATTCTCAGTACTATTGGCAATAATTAGTTATCTTATGGTTTGTATTCATGTGATAAACAAGAACTTCTTTAAAAAGCCACCTCTTTACACACTCTTTGAAAAAATACTTTTTTTTTTTTTTTTTATATGACAAGGTTTTTTAACTTTTACTTTTTCTAAAACTCAGCATACAGTAAAACTATGACACAATGCACACCAACAAAATAGGTTGATAGTAGGTCCTGATGCACGGGATGGTCAGCCTGTCTCGTAGCACCTCCTAGCTTCACAGTGGAGTGGACCAGAGCCTTATGTAAACTAGGACTACCTGTCTTTGAATCTGGTATGCTATAATCAGATGCCTAAAAAATGTCATATCCTAATGACATTTTGGCATCAAGCCAACTGTGCCTTTGCATTCTTGGCATTCTGTGAGCCCCATGGAGTTCACTCGCAAGTTTCTGCATGCATAGTTAAGCATACCTACTCCCTACATTTCTCATAACAAATGCCTGGATTTCAAACAATGCCATGGCATCATCAGACTTTGCTTTCTAGCTTTACAAAAACATAAGACACAAAGTTTAGTTTGGCATGTTGCACTGTTTCTTCTCCTACAGCACGCCCACCTGTCAGTGAGGGGAGAGCAGCAGAGGCCATGGGGGTGCTGTGACCAGTGTCGCTGCCAGCTATTTTTGATGAAGCCGCCTTGTCAGCTCGGTGTTACATGTAAACCTGTTTGGTATGAATATTATCTTGGTGAGAAATACATTCCTATTTCGTACTATTCCAATGAGCTGACTTTCACAGAAGCATGTCAATGTGAGTATGAGGGGGCCTTGCTGTTCCGCATATCATTCACCTAACCTCACAGCTGTCTCAGGTCCTTCTTATACAAGCCAATCATATAATGCAGGCAATATTAATTCACCTGCTTTTTAGACAGATGTTTATCACAAATGGGAAAGAGTTGAAGAGCTATTAAAAATAGTAATGTCATGCTGGATCATCATTCCGCTTCATTCTGTCTCTCACTCTGCATAATTTGTTAGTTCAGTCTCTAACACTATGCTCACTCTGCATTTTAGCAGCTTCATCTTGTCTGTTCCTGCCTGGCTGTGACTCCATCCTGGAGAGAAATATCATCTGTGCTGTCACCATCAACACCTTTGTTTATAGATATTGGAGATCGGCTTGTTTTTCAGTGTAGTCCTGTTTCTCTGACTGTGACTGGCTGGATTTGCTCTCTTTCATTCTCTGACATAAGAGCTGGCTCTGAACTCGTCTGCCTGGCTGTGCATTTCCTGGACAGGGCCGGCCGTGGAGCTGGTTCACAGTTGCCTTTTGTATCTCTGCTTCTGTCTCCTTGAACCCCACTTGGCCTCGGCAGATGGCCGCTCACACTGAGTCTGGTTCTGCTGGAGGTTTCTTCCTGTTAAAAGGGAGTTTTTTTCCTCTACACTGTCGCAACAAGCATTATTTGTGTGAGGGATTGTCTTTGAGCCAATGAGTTGATGCAATCAGTATGATCTGGTTGAAAATTTGCTCTGTAAAGTGCCTTGAGATGACATGTGTTGTGAATTGGAGCTATTTAAATAAACTGAATTGAATTTAAATTGAAATGGATGATGCTCCCTACTTTTTAACACTATACAATGGCCTATGATTTTGCCGTTTACATTACAAACAGTAAAGTAGCCTAGTTTATACAGTTTATCTGAAAAAAGTTGATTTTAGGGCCACAACTTTTAGATCAGAGTTCAGATTTCAATGGTTAAAAAAAGTATTTTCTTTAATAGCAGATGCTTTTCCAAAAGTTTTGTTCAAATGCCTCTGTAAAATAAATAATTTGTTGGCTGGTGTTGCTGTCGGTACTAAGTTGTAGAATTCAAGCCGTAACAACTAAAACAACAGCAAAATATGTGAAGTGAATACTTTCTGAGTCTCCCTTCCTCAAATCAAAAATCAAAATACTTGTAGTCATTTACAAATTAGGTGAATAGTTAGATGAATAATACACTTAAAAAAAAGGGGAAACATATCTTACTCTGAACAGCAGGAGAGAAGGCAGGCTGTGGCTGAAAGAGTGCACTGAGTTTCGAACAAATTCCTGGATAAAAGTTCTGATCGCCACACCGCTGTCCCCAAAGAGGACCACACATCTGCAGCAGGGAAGAAGAAACAAGACACATTTTTTTCCTTATCACAGATAAGTGCCAGTTATTTAGATATATGTGGGAAAGTCAAGCTTAATTTATTGAGCACACGTTCAAAGATTGAGGTTAAAAAGTGCTTAAAAAGGAGTGACCAAAAAAATATAGAAGCTTTCTACGGTTTAGAAAACAAACCACAATTTAATGATGAAGAAAACAAAACAGAAGTGTAGTAGGTGACCACAAAAAACACCTGAATTAATTAACTCAGACTGCAGAAAGAGGTGTTTATTTGATTTAAATCAGAAATAATGTACAGGAATGTTCTTTGTTGTGCCAGCTGTCAAAAGGTATAGACTTGTATCTTTGCAAAGTGTAATGGCGATGATGCATCAATCATTTTTAATGTTCTTAACTAGCTAGATATAACTTCCTGTTCTTTGGTTTTGGCAATGTTGTTTCCTTCATTTAGATTATTCTCAACCATTCAAGATTGATATAACTTCATGTCCTTAGAATCTATTTGCCACATTTCCCAAGCTTAGAAATCACAAGAAAAAAAAAACAAAGGGAAATTTTGGGAAAACTTACCAAAAATTCATTTCCCGTAGGGATGCGGGCTAGAGTCAAACCGAGAGACATGTTGGCATTCACATTTGCAACTTCTGGGATGCTGACGTCATCTTAAAAATAAACAAATAAATAAATAAATGAATAAAAAGGACAAATTAGAATTAATTATTTTGTTTGTTTCTACTCTGCATTTCACGCAAAGAAAGCTTTAGGTTGCTTTAAGAGCACCAAGACCAGCTTCTCCATTTAGACCAGGGGTGTCAAACTGGTTCCAGAAGGGGTCGTGTTGCTGCAGGTTTTCTTTCCAACAGAGCAAAAGCACAAAGTGATCCCAATCTGAACATGATGATTTGATGAGATGACTGGAGTCTGGTGTGCTATTGCTTGGATGGTAAGAAAACCTGCCGCCACACAGCCCTTTCTGACTCACTTTGACAACCCTGATTTAGAATTTTTAGTACACGGCCAATGTTTGGCAGAGAGAATATAGGTAAACAAAAGCTGGATTTTACCTTGAAGCTCAAGCTTATCACAGCTGTCGCTGGGTCCCGTGACCTGACACTTGTAAACATCCCCCTTCCTGTTGTTACTCCAAGGAGCACCAACTAGCAGCCTGTAAAGAGGAGGATTGTTAATGTCCAAAAAATTTGCTCTGTTGTGTTTGCAAGTAAAATCTGACAAAAAAAATGGGAACAAATCAAAATAAAAATATGGATTACAATGTAGACAACATTTGCAATCTGAATATATTTAACCTGCAACAGTTTTTCCCCACTACCATCAGACTCCTGAACTGTAGAAAAAAACTCTAAATCAAGCCACATACTTTGCATCCCACTGATAACACCAAACCAAAAAGCACTCAACTAAAAGAAAAAAGAAAATGATTTTCCACTGCGTTTTTGCATCATATATATTTGTCTCTGCACTGCTCTGAACTTTCATATCAACGCATTATGCACCATGTTTTTCTTCCGCGCCGTTTCCTTTTTTTGTTTGTTTTTTTTAAACAGTGTCCTGTCTGGCTAAAAGAGAGCCCGACAGATTTTACTTTCACAAGTGGAGCAGTATGGCTATCACCATATTGTTCCGCTTGATTTATGCAAATAAATAGCTTTATTAATTTTATGCAGGGAGCATTGCAGATTTTATGAACACTGCAATGTAAGTAGACAGAAAATGAAAAACAGAAAACAGGAGAAAAGATGAAAGAAAGAGGAGATAAAAGGAAGATAACGATAAAACGTCTTCAGTCTGCTTCATCACCTTTAAAGACATTACGTTTCATCACCAACTCTGCCTTCAGGACTCATCATTGTGAACTGTATGCTCTGGTTTCATGGCCCTCTCTAAGCCTCAGAAGACAACATCATTGGCTTACTTTCATTTACAAGGCCATCCTGGGTAAACTCCCTCCATACCTGTGTCACCTCATGTATGTAGCTATCAGTGGTTACAACTCACGCTCTTCAAGTCGTGTTCTTTACACTATTCCCAGGATCAACACAGATCTTGGCAAAACATAATTTTTCTATGCAGCACCATGGTCGTGGCACAATATTCAAAACTCCCTGCAATTATGGACTCTTATTCCGCTACAGCATTTTAAATCACTATTGAAAACCGCTTGCACAGAGAATTGTAACTGGTATTCTAAAGTCTAGTTTATGATTGATTTTATTATGTTGTCCTGTGTTCTTATATGTCTTGCTGTACTGCTGCCTCTTGGCCAGGTCTCCCTCGAAAAAGAGATTTTATCTCAAGGGTCTTCCTGGTAAAATAAAAGTTAAATAAATAAAAAAAAAAACGTAAAAAGAACAGCACAACCAACGGATATAGTATAAGAGATACAATAAAGTAACACCTTGATACTGTTGCTGAAGTATAAGTAGTATTATTCAGTCTGACATGTTTACTGTGGTAGCTAAAGATAATAATATGGGTTTTCAGTAAAGAAGTTAATCTCTGAATACCTGGAGTTAAGCACCTGTAGTTGTTTGTCACACTGTTTACCTTTGATCACTGCTGCATTTTATGAAATCGAAATACTCATTTCACTGCTAAGCTGCTGCTTATTTACTGCCTGAAAGCTTTACAAAATTACATTTCTTTTTTTATAAACTCTTTGTGTACAAAATGACAATAAAAGTTCTCTTAGTCTAAGTCTTAGTACATATAAACAGGCTATTTTTATAAGGTAAATGTGGCTAAACCAATATTTATGAATCTGCTTTATTTTGAAACTAACCAGTTTTGCATCACTAAGAGTGGGAGTGCACATATCTATGGGCTGGTGCAATTTAGACCCTTTCCAATAAGGTACTTATGGTATTTATGTATAATTTATATAGCAAAGATTAAAAAAAATTAGAGTTAGTTTATTGTTAGGCTTTTCATTTTAGTCAAGCTTAGGCTTTTAATACAGATTAAGATGAGCTGATAGTGGACGGATGTTCGGGCATGAGTTCTTGTAGCTTCTTTAATGAACAGGAACTGGGGGGTGGAGGAAAGTTGGAACACATTGTTCCTGTGAGTGCATACAAAAGCACGTAGAAATGCCCGTCGGAAACAACTGTTGTTCAAAGATAGGATCCTTCATGGAAAAAACATACTTCATTCATCATTGATTCATTCAGGAAGAAGTTACAGGAAGTGAGTCCAGTTGATTTAAAAGCTACAGCCTCCCAAAGAAGGGGGCTCTTAGACTTTGGACTGCATGTGGATTGTATTAATCTGTAAGAGCCTCAGCACTTAGGCCCCGTCCACACGAAGACGAACCCTGGCCTAAACGCACAAATTTTTCACCAAACCAGCCTCTCATCCACACGAAGCCGGCGTTTCGGGGGTCTGTAAACGATCTTTTTTTTATTCAGCCTTCAGAGTGGGAAGATTTCGAAACGCCGTTTTAGCGTTTCCATCTTTACGCTCTAACCGCATATTTTTTTTTACACGCATGCTTCATAGCGTCGCCTCTAAACACGCATGCGCGACCAGTATCACAACAACAATGGCGCCGTTGCTGCTAATGCTACTCACCCTGCTGTCGGGCTTACAACAGAATCTTCTTCTTCTGGAATATCACCAGGAAGAACAGAGCAATATCGACGACATAGTTCAGCACCTGAATTTGACTTAACCACGAAAATGGACCCGCAGGGCAATCGTGTATAAATATTAGTGCGCATGCCCAACATTTCGTCGCTTATTTTTGCTTTGGCACCACAGCGCCACTTACAGGCCTGGCATACATTTTGCAGCGTTTTCATGCATTTGTGTGGACGCTCACATTTATTTTACGTCTCCGTCTTTACGGCAAACGTTTTGGAAAATATCAGCGTTTCGTGTTCGTTTTGACTTCGTGTGGACGGGGCCTTATTCTGTCACTCCAACTTGTAAACTTTAAGTGTTAAAATCTTAATCTATTCTTACGTGCTTCTTTCATTGTTTTAATTTGAAAAGTTGGAGTTAATTGAGGGTGAACAAACCATTACATTATTAAACATCTACCCTGTTTAACTGACTGGATGAAAAAAATGTGGTATGCAAGCATTGAGTTGAAATAGCTATATCAGAATAATTGTTATTAGAAAATAATGGGTGTAACACTTCAATCATTTCGATGCATTTTTCATTCCATCAATGTTTTTTTTTTAATCTGTGGTCAACTATTGGTTAATTATGATGTATTTTGCAATCTACTTCACTGCCTTTAAAACATCAGCATAACATGTTGATTTAGAATTTGCGTTCTGAGCAAGATTCCAACATGACAGCATCAGATGTTTTGCAGGAGAGTCGTGATCTTCTCTCAATCCCAAGCTGTCAGTAAAAAAAGTCTTATTTGTCTGAAGGAGTACCGTGATATGACGTAAATATATGGGAGGGACTTTGTAGGTGTATTTAATGTCTCAGTTCAATCATCATATAAGTCAGGGGCTATAAATAAAGCCGAACAAGCATTAATACATTTAGTTGCACAAATAACTTACAATAAGAGCATTTCTCTACATATGAAACTAGATGAAGAAAAGAAACCCTAAAACAGGATTCTTTTAATATTAGACATCTGGAAACATTCCACATGATGTGTTATATGAAGATCTAGTGGGTGACTCAGAGACGCTGGTTTTCCCTGAGTTATGCAAACAGGGCACTCCTCCAGACAGTGAATTGCTCTGGAAGGGTGACTGTACAGACTGGGAGTGTAAACATTACTAGTCTATGAAGTTTTGTTACTGTTTTACTAAATGTTTTACATTAGTAATATGAACTGTAGGAGGCTTTAAAAACAGCAGCAGCTAAGCGCCATAAGAAAAGGAGTCTTTATAGACCCTTTTTTTTAATCACATCCTTTAAATTCTGAAGACTACTATGGGTGCTTTTATACATTCAGATAAATACAAGTTGGTGATGTTGTTGCCTTTTATGCATCTGATTAAGATGTAAATTAATTTCGAGACACATCTGGGTGTATGTATTTTAAGGTTATATTTAAAAATGTGTAGCTGATTTTATCTGCCATAGGGAAATTCTTAATCATTCAGTCACGATACCATGAAGATAATTGTGGACCTCCCAAAGTAAGTTTTCCTTCTGTCTTAAGCACAAGGTGCCACATGCATCTGTTAATTACATGACATGAAAGTATTAACACCATTTGATTAACCCACCATCATACAGTTCATTAGATGGTTTCTGCTCATGTGTTTTGGTGTTTAAAGATCCTTTTAACTGCAGAGCAAAAGCACATGACCTTGTGAGAATGAGAAAAGTCCTATATACATATGGACTGAAAGGCCAATCAACGAGGAAGAAGCCATTACTCCAAAAGCTACGTTGAAAGCCAGACTGCATCTTGTAAGACCACACAAAGCGGAAGAATAAAGCTTTTGGAGACATGATTTGTAATCTGATGAAATTGAAATTGAACAATTCAACCACGATGACCATTGTTACATATAGAGGAAAAAGGAGAAGCTTGCGAATGTAAGAACACCATGTGAGGTATTAACACTAGGGCCCCGTCCAAAAGAAGCCGAACCCTGGCCTAAACGCACAAATTTTTCACCAAACCAGCCTCTCATCCATACGAAGCCGGCGTTTCGGGGGTCTGTAAACAATCTTTTTTTTTATTCAGCCTTCAGAGTGGGAAGATTTTGAAACGCCGTTTTCGCGTTTCCATCTTTAAGCTCTAACCGCATTTTTTTTTTTTTTACACGCATGCGTCATAGCGTCGCCTGTAAACACGCATGCGCGACACAGTATCACAACAACAATGGCGCCGTACTGTGTTGAATGGTTGCTGCTCATGCTACTCACCCTGCTGTCGGGCTTACAACAGAATCTTCTTCTTCTGGAATATCTCCAGGAAGAACAGAGCAATATCGACGACATACGGTAGTTCAGCACCTGAATTTGACTGAACCACGAAAATGGACCCGCATGGCAACCATGTATAAATATTAGTGCGCATGCCCAACATTTCGTCGCCTATTTTTGCTTTGGCACCACAGCGCCACTTACAGGCCTGGCATACATTTTGCAGCGTTTTCGTGCATTCGTGTGGACGCTCACATTTATTTTACGTCTCCGTCTTTACGACAAACGTTCTGGAAAATATTAGCGTTTCGTGTTCGTTTTGACTTCGTGTGGACGGGGCCTATATGTTCCAGAGAATTCCAGTTTTCCTGCAAGCCCCCCTCCCCTCTTCAAATTTGTGTATTCACTCTACCTTGCTAAGTGTCCTTGTTGTAATGCAAATAACCTGTGATGTGACCAGCCCTTCTACATGAGACGATAAGCCTGAAACAAACTGGCATCAGAACAGGAGCATGCTCCAAACACTTTTCATTACCTTCCCCTGCAACATTAGACCTTTTTGCAGGAATATCCTAATAATTCATATCTAAATATTTTACTTAGGCAAACCTATTGAACAACCAGCTATCATACGGGTCCTAGTTCCTGAGCTCAGAACAAATCATAACCATGCTTTTCCAACAAGGCAAGGCAGAGCCTATTTATATTGTCCATTCACCAACAGACTCATTTATATTGCAAAGCTCACTATGTGAAAGAAACGTAGAGAATAATTGTATTTTGTCTTGTCTCGCCTTTTCATGTCATTCAACATTTCAGCTTAGAGAATGACAAACGGTATGATTTCAGTATTGGAGTAACATTAATTTCACCCAAGGAAAAGAACTACATATGAAGCATTTGTGACAGGTATACTTTGTGCAGTGCACACAACGCTCAGTGCTGTGGTTCATGTTGCAGAGATTGTACACCTGGCCTGCTTGTAATAACAATGAAAAAATCTCAAAAAATAGAGTTTAGCACATTTTCCCAAAGTAAGAGTCTGTGTGCTGTGCCTGCTCTATTTATCGCCACAGAAATTCTGTAAATTACTCAACTCCTTGAAAAAGCTCCTTTACAACACAAAGGGAGGCAGCTTAAACAAGGAAACCCCAGCACACCAGGTGAAGTCACCAAACCACATTCTTACATTTGCATTTGATTTGCAAATGGCGCTCACTCCACCAGAGGAGAGCCGTTAACACCTTTGGGGAGATACTCGATACAAACTAGGTGCAGACTAAACACTGTATGGGAGACTGCTGTCCTTTAAAAAAAATAGATGGCATGTTGATGAAATGGCATGGGGTGGTAATAATGTAGCTAAATCTGACCGTTGGTCACAAATTCCTCTTTAAAATTAATAATGCATAAAAAAAAAAAAAAAATATATATATTTTTTTTTTTCAGGTAAAACACTCATGTGGTCATAATTGGTTGTAAAAGGACAGAAGCAAATAAGGATCACAATAAGCTATTTATGATTGTCAGAACTTGCTTGTCGGCAGCTGAGTGTCAATGGCATCCATAAACAGCATCCACATTACTCTGCAAGCAGCAACAGGCTTTGATTTGCAAACTGATGAATTTGATGTTTCAGCATTAACTTGCAGTCTTTATTAAAAGCAGGTGAGTGTGGACGCATTGCACTGCAGAATTGGACCTTGCAAATGTGCATGGTTTGGTTTCTACTGTATGTATTCATAAGTGGCACCATTGTCACCCTTTCTACTGTTTTGATCACATTAAATGAACTTCCATTAAAAATCTTTAAGAAGCCAAACTTTACGACAAAGATAGAAACCTTTATAGATTATCTTCACAGGTAAGGAGTAAGATTCCTACCACTTGTCCAGGTAGTTTGGAGCTTGTTGAACTGTATATCCAAACTGCTCTGAAGCTGGGCCAGTGAAAATCTTAGCTCCTGAGGTCCCGACATTAAAGGACTGCAATTGGCTGATCTTGTAAGCTGGTGGAGGGGATAGAAGAGGAGACTGTTAGGATTCTTACAGTTATAATGTCTTTCAAAAATATTCATAGTCTTTACATCTTTTTAGAACATTTTATAACAAAATATTTTTTTTTAACACACATAATTGCAACTTAAGTAAAAGGGGAATGATTCATGTTTTAATATAAATGCCTCACAAGATAATACCCCCATATTAAAACTGTTGTACAAATCCACAACTCAAGTGGTAGGAACTTCCATCTATTGCCCTGGAAGAATATCGAAGAATAGTGAGAATAAGCTATTGTTTCATTTGTTTTTCTATGCAAACAGTGGTCTATAAAGACACGCAACATGATGTTGGCACCATCATGCTACTAAAATGTTTTTTTTTTTTTTACTTTCTCAAATTTGGTGTAAAGATTGTATAAGAGCAAAAAATAAAACACAAATAATGAAGGAAAACGATAAAAGCCAGTAAAAGAGGTTCAGCAGCTGGTAAAAATGGTTCAAAATGATGTGTCCTGGCCCATATCTGTCCATTCTCACTGTTCTTTAGCTATTCTGCTAAGAGTGGGCAAAATGTGCAAAGCTGTATGGTTCAAGATAAAAAAAAAAAAAAAAGAAATATCTAGTGCCCTCTTCAGACTTCTATTTGGGGGGAATACTATAATATTCATTTTTCATTTTCCTTTCCTATCATATAAAATCTCACATGCAATCGTATAAATAACGTTATGTGAAAAAGCTGATCAAGAACATAACAGTCTGTTTATCTGCTTTATCTAATCTATTCTTAGATCTACATTTCACACAAAAAGCCACCACTTCCTCCCCTTTAGTCAGGTGTTGGTGAATCGTGCATGGGAGCAAAAAAGAAGAAAAAATAATACAGTCTGACTCATGAGGGCAGGAGAAGAGATTGCAAGAGCAGCAACAGCTAACTCTTAATCATAATCAATCTTAATTAGAAGAATCACAAAGGCTTCCCAACAGCCTAATGTGGAAATAGGCAGATCCTGCAAAATCATGGAGACAAGCCTACACAGGCAGAGCTCAGCCATCAACATGCAATCCCCTCCTCAATAAGTGAGACAAGGAATGTGGATATTGGACTCTGGAGAAGCTACACAGGCAGCAATATCCGGCCACGCCTGTTTTACCTGCACAACCCAGGCGCTCCAAACATCTCAATGTGCATGTTCTATTCTATCTGAATGTGATTAAAATACTGTTCTTACGAGAATATTGTCTGCCGGAATGAAGTTTTAACAAACAACTTTTATCCAATAACTGCGAGACGAACTGCGTTTTACTAAACAACACAAAGAAAGTTTAATGATGGGACTTTTCTCCGCTCAAAGTTGGTAAAAACGTTTACAAATGAAATTCACACCAATTCTCAATACAATGCGAATAATTCTTAGTGAAAAAAAAAAACAAATCTAAACGTCTACATTTTAATAACATGTAACAAAGGTAACTGTCAAGAAACCTTAATAGAATAATAATTTTAATGGTATACAAACTTGTAAATAGATTCTCATATGGAGCCTCGATCCGCAATAAGTTATTTAAAAAGTCAAAAGTGAAGAAAAATACATTTTATACTTACAGATAACCACTATAGCAAAGAAAAGTTTCCTCCAGACGTGGTCCATCCTGATTCTTGCTTCATGTGTTTATGGCGTGTCCAAACCAAGTCTCGGTGCGCGTCAGTCTGGGCTCAAAAGCGGTGACGCAACGGATATGTTTCCTTATAAGGACTGGTGAGTTGAACTTGGTTCTTTTTTCCTACCTACGGCTACAAACTTTTATAATTGAAGTTTCTGCCTAGAGAAAAGGTTACTCGTGCAGCACAAACAGAATGGGTACATTCCGACAGATCAGATAAGTGTTTGCATTAAAGGTTTGGACACCATGTTCACCATTAATTGTTGTATTATCATATCTGTTTATTGATAATATTTCCTTATAAGTCTTGTTGAAAAAAAAAAAAAAAGCGCTTAATAGCATATCAGTTTCTAACACCAGTCTGAGGAAGTTGGTGTGAATTTCTGGTATTTCTAGGTCATCCTTCAGCCAGATAAAGACACTTTGGTTGTTAACTAAGCCTAATACAAGGCAACCTTGTATTAAACAAACTGAGGATTACTTAAGAAGAAAGAAACATTCAGATTTTGACCTAAGGACCTTGATTACCAGACACACAGGTGGAGCAGGGGTGGAGCTAGAAGGGGGGGCAGGGGTGGCCATGGCCACCCTTAGCCAATCATTGGCCACCCCAACATTTTTCCCTCTAATACAGATGGTAGCAGCAGTAATACTCTCAAGGGGAATGTTCAAACTTATTAAACATTTACATTTTTTCAGATATTAACAATTACTTTACAACAGAAACACTGTGGTTGATTAGGCACATCAATATACTAACATTAAAGATGATAAATACAGAATTGACGCTCTTTTCAGGACTAAATTTTGTGTTATTTGGGGTAAAAAGAAAATGATATGTCTCTGTAAGTTATCTAGGAGTCTTCAATTAAATAATAGATAAACAACTACTTTAATAATAACTAAAAAAATAATGTAATGATGATATTACTATGTTTAAATATACATTTTTTGCAGAATGATTATTGATAAAAGTAAGTAATTACAATGTAAAATATCTTCGCCCCAGAAATCAAACCTGAAAGAATTTTGTCCACTATACCTTTTACCATGGATGTTTAAATATATATGTGTTTGAACAGTGTAGATTGACCCTGAGGTTCTGGTGCCTTTCAGACACCCCTCAATGTACATTGGTTATTGACTGGCCACATTGACTGGTACTTTTTTGATATCTCAAATGCATCTGGAGATCTGGGAGGCTTCTTGCTGTCTGCTGACATTCAAATAATGGAGGTCCCCATCGCCCGAGGCAGAAAGGTCCATAAAAGTCCACAAAAAACGTGTCAATATTCCTCCATACTGCTCGTCCAATGTATTCCAAGTGTCCTGAGTGGGTAGCATCCATAATCTACTCGAAACGAAGTCATTTAGAATGTTTTTAGAGCATAAACAGTAGTGTATAGGATTTCCTAAAAGCGCGCGCCTGCGAGTTCACGACTCTACGGAAACTGCGGCAGACCAAACCAGATGAAAGTGCGCATTCAGCGTCTGCTCTGCCGATAATGCAAGCGTAGAAGAAGAAATGTGCTCCAACTCTGAGAGAGACTAACCTCCTGGCTCACGGCAGAAAATAAACGGGTGAAAAGCGGAACTTCTTCTTCTACGCTTGCATTATCGGCAGAGCACACGCTGAATGTGCACTTTCATCTGGTTTGGTCTGCCGCGGTTTCCGTAGAGTCGTGAACTCGCAGGCGCGCGCTTTTAGGAAATCCTATACACTACTGTTTAGGCTCTAAAAACATTCTAAATGACTTCGTTTCGAGTAGATTATGGACGCTACCCACTCAGGACACTTGGAATACATTGGACGAGCAGTATGGAGGAATGTTGACACATTTTTTGTGGACTTTTATGGACCTTTCTGCCTCGGGCGATGGGGACCTCCATTATTTGAATGTCAGCAGACAGCAAGAAGCCTCCCAGATCTCCAGATGCATTTGAGATATCAAAAAAGTACTCCAGAGTGTTGTTCAGCATGGGGGTGAGTAGAAAATGAAGGCTAATCATGTTTTGGGTGTACTATTCCTTTAAGGAGGCAGAGGGCTTCACTCCAGTGCCAGAGTGTTTGCCAGTAACGGTTAGCAAGCCTGAGCCAACCTGCCTGTCTGTGATTTCTGACTTTGTGAACCAAACCTGATCCCGTTTTCTCCTCTCTGCTTCCCAGGTTGATCCTGCCTGAATACCTGAAACTCGGGAGAGTTTCTCTGCCGGTGATCTGTCTGCTCGTTCTCAGTAGAACTCTGGAGAGCTGTCTCTGTCAAGTATCTGGCTGCCCGCTCGCAGAAGATTACTGGAAGGAAACTCAATCTGTGATCTGCCTGCACTCTGTAAGCTCTGCCTCCGCCTCTGCCCTCAGCCTGTCGACAACCTCTGGACCCTCAAGGTTCCCTTCCTCTGCAACTTTGCTCCACTCCTGAACAGGTACTGACCTGAACACTCTCAACCTGCAAAACACCTGGACCTCCACTAATCTCTCTGTCCTCCTCAGCAGTGAACCCACTCGTGACCAGTCAAGCCCCCTCTTGGATCTGATCAAACTGTGTACATTTATTGAACCCCCTCGTGACCAGTCAAGTCCCCTCCTGGATCTGATCCAACTTTGTTCATTTATTGTAAATAAATCTTTGAACTTTTCTTCTGCCTCCGAGTGTTCTGCATGTGGTTTAGACACCTTAATCCGAACATGACACTCATGTTAGACTACTGATGTCTAAAGGTGTCTTTAGGTCACATCTTTTTAAAGGAGTCTTTAAGACATTTCTCAATTAGATAAAGATCTGGACTTTTTACTTTTTACTGTATGTATAGCCAGTAGTCATGTAGAGGGGGTTCTCTCAACCTCCCTCTACATGATAGAATCGTGGTCGATTTTATGATGATGAGCATTCAGGTCAAAAGCCCTTTGTTCTAGTTCCTTTACAAAAAATATTGTAATGGGGCTAGTGGTCTTTTGCTGTCTTTGCTTGCCCTAATCTCAATACTGTCATAGCAACACTAAGAGCTCACCAAACAAAATGGGTAAACCGACTTGATATTGTTTAAACAATGTGTTCAAATCATGTGCGTCTGTTGTTTTCCAAGTGCCAAATGTAATTTTCACAATCCTAGGTGGGAATGATTATGGCAATGTTGTGATTTCTTTCATATACAGAATTTTATACCCTGCATGTTAAAAAACAAACAGACTTAAGCAACAGATTTGAAACCATGCCGATTTTGGAGCTGAAGTAAAACAAGCCTTAGAATAATGTATGCATGAAACACATGCATGGAGAAATACCAACTGTTATATCCCTGTCACTGGAAAAAACAACTGATGCAAGACCTTTCATTAAACAGAACTGGGGCGGTGAAATGTATCTCTCAATTAGTGGTGCCGGTTCAAAATTATAATTTGGAAAGAACACTAACTGGGGTGTGTTGCTCAACAGATACAGTGACCACAGCCTACATTGTATAATATAGCAGTGACTTATGAGTAAACAACAGTTTTAACATTGTCTGGAAATTATTCTTTAGCGGATTTCTCAAATGAATACCAGTAGCTTTTTGATTCCCGACAGACTAAGAAGGGGTTTTAGGTTTTTTTGTGTTTTTCTGTCGGCTTCAGAGGAAGTCTTAAAATAGTCTCCATGACATCACTCTGGCCTGAGTTTTAAACAGAATGCTTTCATTGTACATAGACTGTGGTTGTGGTATTTGAAAGATGTGGTCATTTATCGAGCATGGGGTGTCTAATGAAGAATGGTCCTTTAAAATAATTCTCATCCTTCCCTCCCCTTTCTCACAGACAAATCAAGAGCTAAACACCCTTTTAATTTAAGGATCCGGGCCTTTTACACTGCAGTTACCAAAAGTGTGTCTTCTGCTCTAACTTAAAGGGTCTTGAACATGGGCGTAGGTTTGCATAGGGACCATGTCCCTACCAAAATTTTGAACCATCCTAATTGTCCCTACCAATAATTGGATGTGAGCAACATGTTTATAATTTACAGCAGTAGTTGTTGCAGGAGTGCCTTCTTTTCCTCTCGCTGCTCCTCTGCCTGGTCTCTCCTGTCCCTTTCATGTAGCAGCGGATGAAACTGTGCTGCGCTGTTTAACTCAACTCTCATTGGTTGTTCTGCCTTAAGTTCCGCCTTCTCTCTCTCTGATTGGCTGTTTTCTAGTCCGCGTGTGCTTGGAGCACAACATTGAAAATTTATTCACACTAGAATGCAGCGGTTACTACAATCAATATTAGGCTACAAAACTAGTCCCAATAAAAAAATGAATATCATGTGCACTAAAAAACAAAAACCTTTTTTTTTTTTTTTTATAAAACGAAATATCTGAGTCAGCCAGGAGTTCTGAAGACTGCTGGAAAAATGGGCAAATAAAGGCTGTAAGCCATCAACATTTCTGATTCTTAGCAACAGCCAATTAAGAAAGAAAATGTGAGGGTTTCCTTTTTACCGATATTTAGTTGATATTACTGTTTTCATTTTTTTGTTTTTATTTTTACAATTTTGATATAACTTATCTAAGTGGGTTGCTCTGTGGTTTCCCACACACATTTTACATTTATATTACTGTATGTTTTAAAGTCTCTATACTCCAGTTAATGATGAATCATCTACTAAATTAGTTGACGATTATTGAAATAATCAATATGATTAATTTTTTTTCAGCCCCAGATGAAGTACATGAATGGGCTACACAGAGTAACTACAGCCCAGATGTTCAACTTTTATAGTGAAGTTAATATCTTAATGTATTATTTTGCTTGATACAGAGAGAGCATAGTAGGTACAAATATTTGAGTGGGGTTTAACTCTGCACAATTCTATATCTTCAAAAGAAAATACTGTATTTACCTTCTCTCTTAGTCGTTCAAATGAAACCGTTTTCAAAGTGGAAAACAGTCCTAATTCCACATTCTTCAGAGCCGGTGATGCTTCAAACATTGATAAACAGCATCTAATGAGTGTAGAGCTTATAACATTTTTATTAATGTAGCAAAATGTTGCTTTTCTCTTTTAACAATGAATTCCTCTTATCAGTACGGATGCTCACATCGAGCATAAAAAAGGGCATGCATATTGCATAGCACCAATGACACCAGACCAATAGTGTCCCTACCAAAGTTCAAATCAAACCTACGCCCTTGGTCTTGAAACACTGCAGTCATGAATTTTAAGCAGTTTTATCCCTAAACTGTTTGTGTAGTGTTGGGGAGAAGTTTAAAGAAGTTTTTTATGTTATTAAACAAAAAACCCATACTAATTCATCATATGAAGAAGTATGACACAGCTAAAAAATCAACACCAAAAATGTTTGTAACCTTAAAGCTGAAGTCTGTAAGTTTTTAAAAATCACTTTTTTGTCATATTGGCTAAAACTGTCCCTATGCCCAGACAGCAGTACATGTGATATGTAACCTGTGAAAAAAACTGCTTCAATTGGTACCGCCTACTGCCTGTATTTCAATCTGGAAAGAATAATTCGGGACGAGTCAAAACAACCAATCACAGCCAGAGGAGCGTCTGATGGAGTGTCAATCACAGCTCACGCACGCTGAACACCAGATTGGTGTCACAAACAAACAGAGGTGGTAGTTCTTAATTGTCTGGTACAATCTAATGATGGTAGTTCTTAATAGTTTAGTTTAGAGTCATTCTTTAGACTGAGTACAGGAGTTTAGATCATAACTTATTAAACTGATCATAATATAACAAACTGATTATCTCAGACTCTATGTCTGAGATAATCAGAGATTTGTATCAGAGATTGAGCTAATTAGCAAAAGGAAAAGGCAAATATTTCTGTTTCTTGATGTGAAAAGCTGGTAGATACAAACCAACTGTTCTGCTCCTCTTTACTTTGACTAAGGAAAAGGACTTGAATTTAATCAAACCACAGCATCTAAAAGTCTGCCTTGTTGCCTCTTTAATTGTCTGTCAAATTTAATAACATTTGTTCCATTATGTCAGACTTTGTCTCTGCTGCCAATTGAATTCTACTTTTGGACAGTGCTGAAGGTTTTTTACTTGGAGTTGTCTTTTTAGGTCAGTGAAGTGACTACTGAATATTTAAGAAGATTACATCATTTTCCAGATGCTCCCTTTTCTAGCAGGCCACATCAAGTCTCAGATCGCAAACAGCTCAGTGTACTATGAGCTTAGAGAAGCTTTTCAACCCACCGCATGTACTAAAACCTTTCATCAGAAAGACAAGTGTCTTATATAAACAAAAGCAAGGATATGTAAACCCGTCTTTCTTCAGTTCATTCACCTGTTGTCTTTGTTTGACTAAATCACTTAGTGAAATGATTGAATTCTGTTAAATTCAAAGTTGCTTAGTTTAGTTACAGTGGGGCAAATATATAATTGATTCCCTGATGTTTTAAAGAAATAAAATGTTTCAAACATTGTTATTAAGTTATTATTATTATTAATCATTATTATACTGAGTGAGGTAGGCTTTTTATTGTTCAAAAGAAATTAGAATTTAATGGAAGTTTTTTTGTTTTGTTTTTTTGTTGCACAACTGCCAGATGATTGTTTTAACAGGTCAGCAGATTTACAAAAATATCAGGATGGATTTTAGCTCAATCTTTACGGAAGTCTCTAAATTTTTCTTAACATGTTTTAGTGTGCTTTTTGGAAATTCAAAGCTTCAGCCACTTCTACAGATTTGCTCTGTCTCTTCTTATAGATGGATTCACAGTTGTGTCTCAAGTTGAGTTGCTTGTCCAGGTTTATACAAACGTATTTATGCTCTGCCACCTTCTCCCTCGATGTTGACAGCCTTTGCCTTGTTCACGGCATCTTCTGAAATCTACAATCACCCCCCTCATTTATTCACATTCAGGACAAAATAATTGTTTCCACACCATCCCACAAAGCGGTCCATCAGCTTCCTGTACTCAACTTCTTGTCCATCTTTGATGCACCCAATGACAGCAGTCATCAAGATGACATGACTCTTGTACTGGAAGTGAGAAATGTAAAAAGCAATGGTGAAAATCATCTGTGGTTCTACTCTGCTGTTGTCTGCCTGGTTAGACAATTGATCCCTCAATCTCTCAAACTGGTAGACTTTTATCCAGGTAATTCCACCTAAGTTTCCTGGAGGTTCTGACAAAGTAAAGATGTGCATAAACTGTACAATATTTTCTATCGATGGACTACAGCTGAACCTGTATGATGATACTGAAGGGTTTAAAAGTTTACACTTCAAGATATCTGTTCTTGCATAGAATGCCCTAATGTTCTGATGCAATCTGTCCGCTCATGCTCTATGTCCAATAACTGCACATCAGACTCAGTGATGTAGAGAGTTGGTGCTGATCTGAATTGTTTATCAGCAAGTAAAGGCAGAGATGAACAGGAATTACCTTGTTTGCTCATGCACACTATGTAAGGTTGAGGTAAATCAGCTCATAACTGCTTAAACAACAGGATACAATCATGCTCACCTCAAGAGCGGCAACTCAATTTCAAACATGTTTGATTTTTATCCCACTGTAAGAATTCCAATTGTGAGTTGGTTGTGTGAGACTAATTGCTAGATGTTACCTTCTGTATACTATGAGGGTAAAACGCCACACAATCCAAAAA